TGATAATGCAAACTTAGGGTTTGTCGGCGAACAGTTTTAAGTATAATGGCAATACACCAGAAAATTTTTATGCATATAATAAGTACTTAACTACCAATAAATAGGCTTAAAAAAATCTCCATAAAAACAAGTATTCATGATAACAAATTGTATAGACGCCACTTGCCAATAAAGGCTATAAACCTAGACATAATTATATGATTTTACATACTTTTTTCTCAAAAATGGAGGTCAAGTGAATTTGTATCATTTGCTGGAAAAATCTTGTCGTAATATGAATTCATTTGTAACAAGCAGATTTGAGAATTTTTTTAATGAAAATGCTGGTTCTTTAATTGTTTTTGTACTAGAGCAGCTCAAAACAATTTGTTTTCAGCATATTTATCAATGGAACAAATTAGAATGAACAAAAGAAAAATCTTTAAATAAGCCTGCCAACGAGTATCTACAAAATCTCAACAACCCTTGCATCCCGTGCAGTGATAATTGTTTCTAGTTGTTTATTGATATATTTTTTGTTTGGCTGTAAAATATTAGTTATTTAATTGTTGTATTAATTCCAAAGGTTCGAATGAAACCAGAAAAGACACGTATACCACAACATCAGAGGGATTATCGCATTGTCAATGAGCCTCAATTCATACGGCCATATGGTCTGTGTCTGAAGATGAACAGTCGAAATGATCGGAGATAAATTAATGGTTTCTATCAGCTATCAACAGCAACAGCGACATCAGCTTCGATTTCAATAACAAACTCAGCAAATCTCACAAAAAAAAACGCATGATGTAAATAACAGTTTTATTCATGATCGGAATTAACCTAATTTTGGAGGTCAGCATACCGAAATTTAAATTTAAATATATCAAAACACACAGTCCGTTTTTCAATTGTGAAATTCAGTTGAGTTAAAACTTGACTGCCCTTCCATAAATTATCGTTTTATAAAAATCGTTTCGGAGATAAACTGATGTCGAGAGGTATAAAAGTCGGTTGTTAACTCTTAGTCTTTTTGCAGAAAACTAGTCCATTCGCAAAACCGTCCGAAGGTAAGACCCTGCAATGAAATAAAATAATAAACTTAAGAGTAGTTTTTGTGAGACTTTTAATTTTTTTAGAATAGCAGTTTTTATGGAATCTTCATGAAAACATTTGTGTAAAAATTGGGTCAATTTCAGTTTTAAGAAGAAAAAGCAAGTAACTTTTCAAAAATTGTCTCTTTTTTTCCCGCTCAATCCAATTGGCTAGCAACTCAACTGACAAATTATATCAAGCTGATTAAATTCAGTATTTTACAGGAGTAAAATCAATTTTTTTACTGTGATGCAGATAGAGACTTGAATTATAACAAAAGTCTTTGAATTGGTTCGAGACAAGGTCGAAGTTAGGTCGAGAACTACTGAGATATGATTTTAACGCAGTTTTTTCAAGACTTCTAACTCAGTTCAGATCTCGTGACAGCTAGCTCAGCACGTTGATTGAAACCATTTCGTAATTTAAAAAGGTTTTCGCATCAAAAATTCAAAAAGATAGCTTTAAACATTTTTTCATCAATAGAAATCAAACGTCGATAGATTACTGGATTAACTTGTCTCTGTGCTCGATAAAGTTGGAGTTTCCAAGCAACCCAGTTATTTATGTAAATCATTCCCTTCCCACATTTTAGTATTTTAGTTTAAGTTTGAAGTTTTTTAAACAAACTTTGCATGTTGTCAAGAAACTGTCAACACTTTTTTTTTCCTTATAACTTGCTTCGTTTTTAGCCATAATAGCACATAGAACAACTAAGAAATTTAGAAAAAAAGAAGAAGAAAAAGTATCAAAAAGACGAGAACAACAAATTTGAATAAATGAAGTTACAATGCCCTATCTTCGTGTCTATGATTTTCATCTAATTACATATGCGAAAACAAGTGTCTTGTAATCGGGAACTGGATTGTTTTTCTGCTAAATACTTTTTCTTACGAACCTTACTTGATTCTCTTTCTTGCTGTGTTTTTGAAGCTTAAAAATTCAGAGTTACGTTCCCACTTGGCCTACAGATAACATTGTTGCTTTTGCGCTGTTAGTTCGATGGTTCGAGTCTCGGCTTGAAATCGATTATTTGCTCACTTTTTGTCAACTTAGTTGCCCGATCATGATTTTTACTTGTGCTGTAAGCAACTTTTGTTGCATTTGCAAATCAAGTGTTGTTTGATGTAGTTTCAGGAGGAATTGAAACTTTTAGCCACAAACAATTAAAATCAATTCATTTTTCGGCTCAACTGGTGTCTGCTCAAAGACTGTCGGCTTTGTTTTGATCGTCGTAATTTTTGTTTCGTTGCTAATTTAATATTCAAATGTCTGGCTATAGAGACATACGATAATTTAATTTTTGATAGTCCTAGTTTTTTTCGATAATTTTCTTTTTTTTTACTGATTTTTTTCATGTTTGTATTGTGTCGCAGAAGATGCAAAGCTCCGATTTGTCTCTGAAGTTTTTACGCATTAAAATAATTTTTGCAGACAAATTCAAATCAAGTTTGCTGGTGTGATGAAAATTATGCCAAGGCGAACAAAAAAATTAGAAAAAAATACGGAGTAAGAAGTTTAGTTTAGTTAATAATTAGAAAAATAATGATATAAGGAGTGTAAAACACAG